CGTAGAGAGAGAGAGAGAGAGGAAAAAGGAAAAATTAATCCTTGGTCTCACGCGATTATCAATTCGCGTCTGGCTCGACGTATATTTTGCGAGGGGTTGACCACCTCGAGACATGATCAATGAACGTCGTCGTGTATTTCTTGCGCCGATATATTATTCGAACGTCTCTTCTTCTTTTCTCCTTTTTCGTCGATCGAAAAGTTGAATAATAAATCGTTCTCGCTAACTACGAGATATTTATTTTATTACGGTTTTTCGAACGAGGTGATCAAGCGATGAACGCAAATGAAAATAGCCTGCTTAAAGGATTTTTCATTCCAAATTTTCCTACACGCACCAACGATAAAAAATACAAGAGCAAGAGATTTCTTTTAATTTCGTACAAATTATATTATCGTCCGTCCACGAATCGAAATTTCCATTCGCACCTCTCCCCTTACGTTCTTAAATTTCTCGACCAACGTTTGGAAACGAGCATATACGGAGAAGGAATCGAGCTCGCGTTTACCCGTCCCGTTTATTTAGAAATCGTAATCTCGACGAAGGCGGCAATTTGGAAAACGCCTAATTGGCAAATTGCGCGAGATTATCGCGCGTTTTAACAACGTTCGACACGCAATACCGATATTAATTGCAGCAATTTGACCGTACCGGCAACAGGTTTGATCGCCGAGTTTGACTCACCATTTTCGCCTTCGCGTACGCGTGAAACGAACCAAACGAATGCAATACGATCGCAGCACGAAGTGTTTCCGACCCGCGATCGCGACACGCTCGAAGGAAAGATTGCGTATCTGGTAAAAAGATAAAAAATGGGGTCGAGAAAGGAGCGAGAAACTCGTTGTTCTCGCGCGGAGAAATGAACGAAACGAAAGAATCGAGAACGATCCTTCTCCACCCTCTCGTTACACCTGTCGCGGATTCCAACCCTATTCAAACTCACGATACCGCGTTAAATGGACTTTTCCCCTTTCCTTCTCCTCCTCTCTTTTTCTCCCCTCAATGCTCAAAAGACTTTGAAACAACTGGCAACAAATCGGCATTAATAAAGGAAAAACGCTCGTTCAACCCTCGACTCTGTGTGTGTGATTGAACGTCGATTGCCTGAACGCGCGGAATGTTTAAGCGGCAGGCTTCGATTTCTCTTTGGGTTAACTCGGATGCGTGCACCTCTCTCCCTTCGTTTCCGAGAAATGGAAAGGGAAAGGATATACGATCGAGCGTATCGTAAAATTAATCGACGAAATCGTGACAAGGAATTTCCCTGTGAAATCGATTCGAGTCGAAGGAAAATTTCGCGCTCGATTGATTAATTCGAGAATCTCGAGTTAAGAATCTTGATCGATCGAAACGTTCGTTTTCTTCGAAACTTTTCGAACGTGGGTTCTTCGTGCGGGTTGCTCGTGTTCGTTCTTGATCGCAACGCACGTGATGGGAAAAAACAGCTCGACCTTGATGCAAAATACTTGTGGCCGAAAAATCGTCGAAAGTTTTTCTATCGGGTATTTCACGTTCTCTTCTCGATTGAAGAATCGATCGAAACAATTGCAATTGGTTATCGATTATAGCGTATAATCGTGTTAATAATCGTAATCGAGCTCCTCCCAACGTGCTAATTTTTAATCCCTCTTGGAAATACACGCGTGTATCACGTGTCACACGCTCAAGGGAAATCATCGATCAGCGTGAAATATTTGAATATACACTTTCTCTCGACACGCTTACGTGATTCGACGTCGTCGTCGTCGTCGTCGTCGTCGTCGTCGTCTCGATTCGATTCACCCGGGAACGGGTTACGAAAGAGCGGAGAGATTAGTGCGCCTCCACGCTTCGATTTTCGATCGATCGTCCAAGATTTGTCGAGTAACGAATCTGTCTGAATCGAAGAAACGAAGAGAAGCTCGATCGAAGAAGAATTTTAATTCTGAGAGTAAATAGAGTACGAGGTTACGCGGTAGATTCTGGAAAAAATGAGAAAGGAGAAACGAAGGAACGAGGATGGAAAAGAAAAAGTGCACACTCCTGTTATCGAGGAAATAACGTTGGCGAGGAAAAGACGTGCGGGATCCATTTACTGGCGCACGAGAAGGGAAAAGAAGCGTGAATTCCCACTCACTCGACGATCCGTTCCCACTCACAGCACGGCCTACTCAAACGGGCACAAAAGAGCACTTGTTCAAACAGGCCGAATCCCCCTCGAGACATTCGGAGGCTGGCGATTGCCGCGACGGGATCGTCCAACCCGCCATTTTTCCCGTAATCACCACCGGCGGCACGATGATTCCTTCTCTCCTTTCCTTTCCTTCCAAAAACCTTCCCTCCTCCCCCTCCACTAACCAACTGACTAACTGACCAACCAACTCGAGCAAATCTCGAGAGCTTCTCTCGACTCCTGACCAGGAGCAGGATTCTTTCCTCCAACGAGGAGAAAAGAGCGGAGGGTGGAGAGAATGGCGAGCTCGTAAGATAAAATGAAAGACGAGGGAAAAGGAAAAAGAGAAGAGAGAAAGGGGTGGGTGAGCGAAGAGAAATGGAAAGAACAAAGCACTTGCGGACTTACGTGCTCGATGGTGGGCAGATGGGCCGTGACTGACACCCCCGGTGCCGCCACGCGCCCCCCGCGCACCGAGTCCCCACGATCTCGAGGGGAGTGCGCAAGCTCCAAGCCCCGCACGACCGCCACGATCAGAGCTTCTCCGGAGCTTGTCCCGACCCCCGAGAGAGCATCATCCGCCGAACCAATGTGCTCTAACACTCGATGTGTGCATCTTCCTACGTTCACGTACGCCATCCTCTCAGGGTGAATGCCTCTCCTCTCTCTCGCTCACCTCTCGCGTTTTCGGCTCGCGCCCAAACCGTCCCCCCGCGTGTCGAGCATCGCCGATGCGTCAACGTCCGTCTCCCAATCGAGCGGACTATAAGAGAGAGAAACGTGGTCCTTGTCGATCGATACAGTCCTCGGAAATTCCCGTTTCACTTCCTATTTTCTTCTCGAGGAGCGAAATTCGAGATTCGATCGGTGGAAAAGAATACAGTTACGTCGATCGATTCCCTCGAGAAATCGGTTGCAGCTTCGAAATTGTGGAAAAGAAAATAGGGAGGGAGAGCGAGCGAAGCGTGGAATAAAAAAATTTCACTGCGGATTCCTTGCCACGAGCGTTGTTGCTGGCTTTATAATACTTCTTCTCCCAGTTTAATTACTAATCACTGATCAACGCCCCGGTTAAATCTTCCATGTAAACGGGGATTGTGCAGGGATCCAAGAATTTACGACGAAATTCGAAGAAGGAGGGAGCGGCTTAACGAGTTCACACCGTCTTTTTTCCCTTTTCGATTCGATCGGGAGATTGGTTAGAACAAAGGAAAGGCGGTTGAAAAGAGGTGTAGGCTAGCTGTGTATGTCGGCTGTCACACGATTGGTATTGTCCGCGGATTGTCTTTCCGGGCCGGTGAAACTTTTGTGAAACTTCCTTTGGAAAGTATTGACAGGTGCCAGGAGCGCGCGTTCGATTGACGTGTATTGCAGAAAACGGTTTCCAAACAGGCGCAAACCTCTTCAACGCCGTTATCCCCTAACGTCGAACGGAACATCTCTTCGTTTCCTTTTCTGCCGATGGAAAAACAACGGAATTCACGTTCGTTAAGTCGATAATCGACATTGGAATACTCTGCGTCCTCGACAAAAGAGGTTTCGATTAAGCCTTTTAAAAAAGAATCTTCCATCTTCCATCCATTTTGTGAATAAATAATATTTGCAACAAAGCTGAGCTGACTGAGATAGAGAATCGTTTATATCTCTTTCCCTTCGAAAGGAAGGAAACAAGGATGCGAGGTTTTCCACGTGTTTGGAAAATTGAATGGAAAGGCCGACCGAAAGGAGCCAAGTTTCTCGTCTTCTCTCTCTCTCTCTCTCTCTCAGTTTCTTGCGCAGCTTCTTCCCCGACCTTGATTCAAGAAAAGTAAAGCGGATAGCTCGGAGAGTACCCCGTTCTTGAAGATAATCTGACCAAAGTGTTTTCGCGCTTCGTGAATCTTGAAGCGAGTTTACACCAACTTGACATTAGCGACAAAACGAGGAAAATGATAATGCATTCTTGAAAATCGTGGTAGAATCAGAAAGAAATTTCTTAGAAAGGAAAACGTACATTTCGTATGACGATGCGTTCGTTATATTTTCGTTAACGTAGGGAGAGATAAAAAAAAAAAAAATTGTAACGAACAGATCATATACGAATTTTCAAAAAAAATTAATCTCTCCGAGCTTTCCTTTATATGGAATATCCTCCATGTGGAGTAATCGATCGAAATGATGTGATTTTTCGTTTCCATAAATCGATGCCAGATTTCGAAGAATAGAATATCTTCGAGCGGAACATTTTACCCAATCTAAATTTCCCCGTGAATTTTTACAATTCGTACGAAATGAAATTTTCCTTTTCCGATTTTTTATCCCAATCTTCACGCAATTAAACAATAATTCGCACAAATACATCCTCTTCTCAACGTTTAAGGAATATTCGAACATCATCGCGAGACCGGCGCCTCTGCAAAGATTCCTCGCGAATTCTAATTGGCCGTTTTCGGGCGCGACACCCTTCGAAATTCTATGCATGTTGAACGCGCAGCTTTCCAATAATACCGATGCCAGCCGCTGCGACTGGAATATAATATACCGTTGGACGCGGATATACCGGAATGGACGCTTTCCGGGTGCACCGGGTGCGCGCCACTCGCGATAAAGAAAGTAGGGGGGGGGGAGAGGATCGGCCATCCGCGTTGATTTATAAACGCTATTTTCGGTAACTTTATCTTTGCGGGGCACGCGACGTTTGCGTGACGTTTATCACAAAAATATTTTCGAGAGGGAGGGGGGTCATCTTTGGAGGCACGCGCTTTCTCTTTTTTTTTTTCTTTCTTTCTTTCGCTTTTTTCCAGTCGTGATCGAAATGTCGCGTGCGTGTATATCTGTTGAATCGCAGCGAGGGATAGAGTCGTCGAGGAATCGCGACCTTGGCACGAAAACGCTTTTTCCTGTACGTACGTACGTACGGATGAATATTTTATTGGCCGAGCAATGGAACTCGCCAACGACGGCCAGTGATATCGGGCCGCGATGGTCGGACAAGGATCGCGGTTGGCTCGTCTGGGCGCCCATTTTCTCAGATCCCATCAATCGGGTGGCATCGACCGGCTCGAAAAACCATTCGAAAACGAAAAATTTTCGTTAGAAAAGTACGGGGTTTGGTTCTAGTATCGACTCGTATCGTTCCCAGGAATCGATACGTAATAAAGTATCCGCGACTCGTCGTGTCGACAGCCTGCCAGTTATTTGTACGAACGTGGCTGTCGATGGCCATTCGATTCGTTGAAATCGCTAAATTATCCATGACGAATTTCCACGAATCCGCGTATCATTCGATTCGATAGCGAGCGCGAAGCAAGTACAGATAAAACGACACATTTGCCTCTGATTCGTCCATCTGTCGTCTCTTTTCAGAAATTTGCTTTGGTTCCCGTTGGTTCGATCTAATTCTTGTTAATTCTTCGTTCTTGATTAATTTCGTTGTTTTATTTTCATTAAATTTTACTCGTAACGCTATAATTTATCGACGGCGCAAAAGTGACCTTCGTACGGTCGATCGAGTGATAATAATAATGACGTTGGTGCATCGTTCGCAATCGTGGCAGGAAGCTAAGTAAGTAAGTAAGTAAGTAAGTAAGTAAGTAAGTAAGGAGTTCGATCGATAAATAGGGCGCAAGTAGTATAGATCGAGCTAATGTACCCGAAACTCTCGGTACAATAACTGTTGGACACAGAGCTTTTCGGTGGCCCTGTTTTACCGACCGTGAGTGCATCGAGTGCTTCCACGTCAATTCGTAAAGCTTTCAAGATGAGAAAAGCTGACTTACCGATCGGATAACTGGTTCACCGAGCGAGAGAATCACTTACCTACAAAAGAGAATGGTTCGACATTAAAATATTGCACGCTCCCGTATCGCAGTTCGTTATTGTTGCATCGCACTAAAGTGGCGCCACGTCATATACTAAAATATATACCGCGATATAATAAAAACGCATCACGAAACACAAAAACGAAACATGCGGCCCAATCGAAAAAATTCTCATGCATCATCGCGTTTTCTTTTCTTTTCTTTTCTTTTTTTCTTTCATGCTGAAAAACGAGAAACGAAAATTTCGAAAAGATTTCTCTAATCCGCGATAATAACGATTTCGTACAAAATCCGGGTTCTAGTTACACGCGATTTTGCATCGAATAAAACAATTCTCGAATAACAACGGCAATACACTACGCATTCACGTGTTTCACAGCTATCGCTATATATTTATACAGTGTCGTATCAAAGCGATCTATCGTGAACAGTCTCGCCAATACGACGTATCGCGATCACCAATATGTATATCGCGATAATATATATTCTAATAAGCTTTCGTTTCGCTCTCTACTCTCTACCAGCGAAACGAAGGATTGAAACGACTTGCGACCTACGTTCACTAAATAATTTCTACTGACCCCCTCCCTCCCTCCCACCACCCCCCTTGAGGAGGGGCAGGGGGGGAAGGGGATCGCATTCTAGCCGAAAGGGACTAAGAAAACTAGAGAGACGCCTAAGGTGTCTTTGTGCAGAGTGAACTTGGAAAATTTTTGCGTGGAATATTGTACCTGCACGACAGCCGGCCCGCGATGCGCCTGTGCAATAGAAAGAACAAAAGAAAGAACGTTATATACAGACAGGTATAAGAGATAGAGATTCGGTAAAGGGGGGATACGGTATATGCGTATGAATGTGCGCGCGCGTGTGTGCGTGCGCGCGCGTGTGTTCTATGCGAGACAGAAAAACAGGGGAGGGGAAGAATTTTTCGTTCTTCGAACTCGCGACCCCTGCATAATGATCCCTCTCTCCCTCCCCCTCCCCCCACCCCTCTTCCTCCTCGACTCCCTTTCTCAACTTGTTGTGAACTTCCAACTTGTTCCAACTTGTTCCAACTTGTTCGAGTGAAAAAATCTCCGCCCCGAAAATTCGTTATTTCGCGATTTTCACGAATTTTCCTTTCCATCTTTCTTTCTCGTTCTCCTTCTTTTCTTCTTCTTTTTCTTCTGCTTGGAGAAGTAGCCACACCTCCACTCGATATTATTTCGAGTAATTGGACGACTAATAATCGCGAACCTCCTATTAACAGCCCGGTGCGTCGCGCGCAACGTGCGAATCCTCCTCCACTCCACCGGGTTTGTGTACGTCGCGCGCATACGAATGCAGTCAGCCGGCCGAGTCGCGTGGATAAATTTTCACATCAAGGATTTTCAAATCAACGAGAATCGCCGTTTAATCACGATGAAATTTTCAAATTCCCCGCGGAATTCCCCGCGAGTTGTTCGCCGCGCGACAAAAATTGGCCCGTTCGATAAGGCAGATTGACGAACTCGAGGCGAGGGAAAAGGATGGAGATAAAAATGGATGACAAAAAGAAGAAATCTTCCTTATTAACCCTTCCTCGACTCGTCGTTATTCGAGTTCGCGCGCCGATTACCAATGAGCGTGGCGATCAACAGGAAAGCCAATTTACTTTCAAACCGCCCCCCCCTCCCCCCCCCCTCGCGCCGAGATTAAAATATACTCGGCGCTCTTATTTGTCTCTTCGAGGGGATGAAACTGAAAAAAAAAAAAAAAAAAAAAAAAGGAAGAAAAGGAACGAAAAACGTTGGAAAAGGAAGAAGAGGAAACATTCTCTGGAATTACATCGATCGGGATTTGGAGCGGACGAGTGAGTTTGGCAGCGATATCAATCCGGCGAGAAAAAGGGAATGAAATTTGAAAGAAATGAAATTTCAACGGGATCTCGCGGAGATCTGCTCGTTGCTTGCCGACACCGTAATCACTTCCGTCCAACTACCGGTCGGCTTGACTTCGTTCCATTGATTTTACGAGCCGCTTCATATCCGGGAATCACCATGGAAACCGGGGATGGGGCACCGTTTCAATGGAAAACCGGAGGCAAAGATACACGAGACCCACGCGCGACCATGAAATTTCCGCGTGCTCTCCTCCCCGCGAAATCTCGTTCAACGGGTCAACAGGGCGGGGAGAGGGGAGGGGAGAATCGAAACGGAATCGTCCTTATTCTCCTCTCCGTGAGGAGCTCCTCCCCCTCTCCCCTTGTCTTCGGATACGTGGACACGTGTTCCCGAATATTTACTCCGACGGGAAACGAGAAAAAATAATTCAATTTTATTCGAGAACGTGCTCTCTCGCCCTTTATCGAAATTTAATCTCGAGCAGAATTTTTTTCTTTTTTTTTTTAAGAGAGTTTCTTCTGAAACACAGCAGGAAGGGAATTCGAGGAGGCGTTTCTCGGTGATTAAGAGATTCCCTCTGGAGTTTTGTATATATATATATAGGAAATCGGCCGATCCTCGTGTATGGCGTTCGTTATTGGATCGCGCTATTGTCCAGTAGAAATTGCAAGAACCAAGTCATGGGGTATCTGGGTCATTTATGTAGGGCAGGTAAGGTCAGGGGTCGCGTGCGAGTTCCAGCTCTCTCTCTCTCTCTCTCTCTTTCCAGGCTTTGGAAACCTCCTCCTTAAACGAAATTTCCGCTTCCCTTTTCCCCGTCGAGAACCCTTTCGACCCTCTTCCTACGATATTATGCGTATTTCGCACGTATTTTCACTTAAGGTAAGGAACGGGTGTGAAGGAGAATGGATGATGATCAGAAAGCTCGCCAAGATAAATCTTCGAACGTATCTCGTACGTTTGGATCTTGGTAAGGGCGATCGGTGGGAACAAAGGGAGAAGACGGTCCAAGATTATTAATAAGGGAGTGTAAATGATCCGCTCGATCGGCAATTACGCAAGTGATAAAGTCAACCGTGTAGCCGGCACCCATTTACAAAGTACCCCGGCGCAAAACCGATACAGAATTACAGAGTTTCCTGTTCCAGGAGGAGATAATTTAACCGACGAGGTTTCAATTTCCCGTCAAGGATCCGATACAAGTACAATGCCAGCGCAATTTGTAGGAGTTTCCACCTTTTAATTGTCCTCGGTGAAACCGCGATACGAAAGCGTTTTCTCGCGCGAAAGGTAATTGAAAAGGAAAGAGAAAGAAAAAAAGGAACCCTTCCTCTGTCCGCGACGCGTTCCCGGCGCAGAAAAGGAAAGAAAGGGGAGGAAGGTTTATTCCAGCTAGATTGCTTTTCGTGACCGTCTCGTCGTGAAAAAGGTCGTACATCGAAAATCCCGGCAACTTTCATCGAGGCACGTGACAGCAATTATTCATCCACGGATGGAACAGCCCCCGCGTTTATTATTTTCCAAATGAAAATCGAATCGAATTTTCGCGAGAATCGATCGGCGAGAAATCACCGCAATTTCTCGCCTCGAGACATCCTCCCACAACGACGCCCTTAGCTTAGTTTCTACGGTGGAGCAAAGTGGAGCAGGTACTTTGTCAGTGTCACCGGGAACGCATAACACCTTGTACGGTTAGATATTTATCTAGCCTCCACTCGATAAACGGGCCGAGAGAGGTCCGCCGTTAATATCGTTCTTGTCCTTCCACCCTCCCCTCCCTCCTCCTCCTCCTGCTCTCTCTCTCTCTCTCTCTCTCTCTCTCGTTATCGCGTCGTCTCTCTCGTAACGTCATTGACCCTAATTTCCGAGAATCGAATGAAAAAGGCCGCCACTCGTAAAATCAAAGGATTCCTACTTACGATACTTTCACGATTCATCCACGACTTGCGTAACCCTTTAATCCCTTTAACCACCTTGAAACATCAGGCTCGACATTTCGTAATTCGATTGTTCGATTTCGATTTAATCCAATTCGAGGATCGCGATGATCCAATTCTCCTCAACTTCTTTCCCCGTCGAGAAAACGATTCGAACGTTTCCCAGGGAAGAGACGCCGTCCGTTTATTTTTATCCCTCGTCGCCGAGGGAAATTTTTCAAATTTTCGATTCGAATACGAGTCGATAAACGGAGGAAAGGGATGGAAACGAAACTGTTTTCAATGGGAGAAAGTTTTTCGGGTGGGGGGAACGCACGCCCACACGTGCGGCTACACCAAGAAATTTCTTATAATCGACGAACACGATCACGTAGACGACACGTGCTACTCGTTTCCCCTGGCAACCCCAGTTCTGCGCCCGTGGATTTCTTCGTGGCTTGATAACTCGACGAAACTTCATTACAAACACGGAGGGGGAGGGAAGTAGATTAAGCCGCGTGTAGCTTTCGCTCCAACACTTTCCACAACTTGGGACAAGGCAGGGGGCGAGGCAAAGTGACGTTCACGGTGATCGCGTCTCATTTCCCATGGAGAAAGGAAGAATATGGGAAAGCAGTTGGTCAGTTAACTTGAGCAAAAATTCGTCAACAGAATTTCCCAACCCTTCTTCCAACTTGTTCGTTCTCCTCAATTCTCGAGAGAGTAGAAATCGAAACTGAAACGCGTCTTCGCTCCCTCCTTCCTCTCTTCTTTCTTCCGAGCGCTTGCATCAACTTCCAATCCAGTCTTCTATATCTCCTAGCATCGAATCCTCTTTGAAAAGCGCAAAGAGAATTCCGCGCTTTCAGACTCGCGTTTTCGTTTTCGTCGCGATAAAGGAAAAACGCAAGATGGCCAACTCGACTGGCGAGTACAGTTTCTACAGAGGATACTAGTCGATGAATGATTAAAGCGAGGGCGATCTCCAGCTCGTCGCGTCTTTCCTTACGAAAACAAGTGCCAAGGATGGCCGGCGGCGCGGAGAGCAAATATCGCGTTTCGATTCGACTTCCTCAAACGAGTCGAGGCTCAAAGAGGACAATCCCGAGTCTATGAATTCGTAACCGCTCGAGTGGTCGGAACTGGCACGAGCTTCCAGGAATTTGAGAAAGAAGGAAAAATGTAACATCACTCCTTTCAACCTTGTTATTCTTCGTTATTCGAAATCAAACGCTATAAAATTTCTTTTCACAATTTAAATTTCGATATTTTTTCGACTTCTCCGCCGCGGCGAAGATGCGCACAATGCTCGAGAAAGATGGTCGTCAGCGAGGTGTTTATTGAAAAGGACAAAATTCTCGATGCTACATTTCATTATGCAGAGCGAGTCGAGGAGGACGCCTACCGTTCAATCAGCATCACGGTGAGAGGCAGTCAGCTGGGAATCAATCGATGAAAAGAGGTGGTTTTTAATCCCCCGATTCGATCCCCCGCGAAGCGGAAATCAAGCAGGGCGAAGTCGGAAAATGCGAAAGATCGGGCGAAATAGGCCTAGCAACAGGTGGATTGCACTTTGGGCCGCCCTGCTGTTCTTCAACGCGCGGGAGGAGGCCCTCCAAATAACACGGCCGCCCATTCCCAACGCGATGCACCGAGGTTAATTACGAGAGTTAAATACGAGAGGCCTTGCCCCGTTATCGATCAGTACAATCGCAATTCCGATGGAAATCCGCTTCGTTGCGTAACGCTCGTAGTTGTACGTTTAAATACAACTAGAGAAAAAACAAATCCTCTGCGTCGCGTGTTTGATTTCTTGAAACCGAATATTTATTCGGGAAACTAGGGTGAAGAGAGACAGAGAGAGAGAGAGTGTTGTCGCGTATGAATACGCGATTAAAATATCGAAGATTTTGGTGGCGAAGAGGCGGCGAGAGAAAGGTGGAAGAGAACCTTGGAGGATGGTAAACGGTTACCAGCCAC